TTGCTCTACTGATTACACCCCACTTTGGCTATGGGGGTGTGTCAGAATGTTATCTTATGCTCTAGCCTGTAGTGGGGTGCTCTATAGCAAGTACAACCCTTCTAGGGTTTGATATTTGTGTCCCCATTCTTGCTAGTGCAACCCTCTTCTCTCTTCTAACTTTCACACTTACATCCTAACAAGCCAACTGCCTTGTCACTGCTGCCATCCATGACTCGCCCTGCATCGGAGCCGATCGTTGAGCCCGAGAAGGTTTTGAGCCATCAGATCCGACACCCCACAGGCATCATGAGGATCGCGTTCCTCGTTCGCTGGAAGGATCGCACGCCAACTTAGGATAGCTGGGTGCCCTTGGCCAACATCGAAAACCACCCTACTTTGCAAGTGTACTTGACGAGCCGGGGTTTCCACGATATACACGCCCTCGCGTAGCGGAGGGGGCTTCTTGAGGGGGGGGGAGGGGGGGGTGGGGGGGGGGGGGGGGGGTAGTGTAAGGAATTTTCTCGACAATCCTTACCGCGACCATCAACATCGCGTACAGCAGCAGCCGTTGTTCTCCCGTTACTGCTATCAATGGTGCTTCGCCAACTTTGCACGCACTGTTTCACCGAACCATGCACCGCTGGCCTGGCCGAGTTGGCCTATGCTTCGGGACTAGCCCGAACCTCGATGCTAGCCTAGCACTAGCTAGCTCGCATGCACCACATTAACGTTTGCATGTTTCGCATATAAGTATTCGCTCATGCCTTCTGTAAGGAAAATTCCTTTTCCTTACTTCGCATCCCTGCTCAACGCGTACATCACTGTAGCACCACAGTCAGCACCGTTACCACTCGCAACCCTCGCATCGACAATCCGCCCGCCACCTTCGCACATCGCACCCCGACCTCACGACTCGCTCATGCCTTCGCTCATTTGGACTCTTGCTTCGATAGTGCAATTCTCGTTCGTTCACTCAATTGCACTCGTAACACCTGGTATTCAGAGCCTACGATCTCCTCTCGGACCGCACCCACACCTTCGCTTCCCCACTATCTCAATTTTTTGGGCGGGGGTAGACGTCTCTCAGCGACACAGCACCGCCGCTCGTAGTGCTCTCTCGTAAGCACGCACGGCCACGACCGAGGCTCTCGCTGAGCTCGCCCGACACCCCCGCCATGGTCGAATTCACGCTCGCCACATTGACGCAGGAGCAGCTCGACCATCTAGTGCGCCAACTTGAAGATTCGGCGCTCGAAATTGCGACGATCACAGCGGAACGTGACTCCGCGCATCAGCAATCAACGATGAACACTCCAGCGCCACCACACGCACCGACAAATGCATCTGCACAATCAGACGAGCCGATCGTCATCTCGTCCGGCACACCAACACAAAACAACAGCGTGGGACAGCGCTCAGGCGCAGCCAGCGATGGCGCCGCCCAGCCGATGCCTGGCATGGGAGGAAACAGGGTCGCACCAAGCCCGCGGGAGCCTCGCGAAGCCCGACGACACGTGGAGTTCGCGGCGACAAGTGGCAAACAGACCATTATGGCACCAATGCCACTCAAGCCGCAACGCCCGCCCTGCTTCGACCCGAGCCAGCGTGGAGGTCCGACGGTTCAATCGTGGGTCTTCACGATGAACGTCTTCTTCGACGCGAATTACGTCGAGTCGGACGCACCGAAGGTTCGGTATGCCGTTTCGCTGCTAAGGGGCCCCGCCATGGACTGGTGGCGAGTCATCGTGACGTCGCCACACGCCTACGAGCCACCGTCGCAAGAGGAATGGCCCACGGGCCCAGGTGTCATCTGGAGTTCATTCTGCAAGACCGCCCAATACAGCACGTGGGATGCGTGGTGCGCAGGGCTTCGGGCGCGCTTCGAGGCGATCGCGGCTTCTATTTCGGCGCGCCAGAGATTGCGCACTTGGCGACAGCTTGGATCGGTTCAAGACTATACGAGTGGTTTTCTCGCATTATGCGAGCAAGTCGGCTACATGCACGAAGCGGAGCGGGTGGACCGTTACGTCGGAGGGCTGAAGCCGGACATCTTGCACGAAATCATGCTACGCGGGCTCTCGAACTTCAACGAGATTCTCGCGCTCACCGAGAAAATCGACATTTTACGCCGTCCGAGACTGGGGTCCTACTATGGACATCGTCCTCGGGGACCGATCGAGCACGCCACTGTACACGCTGTTGCGACGAATGAAGCTGCCGCGCTGTTTAAGGGGCGCTGCTTTGCTTGCAACAGGCCGGGACATCACAAGAGCGAATGCTCAGAGGAGCTAAGGCGCCGCGGAGCAGAGCAGGGGAGGGAGTCTCCAAAGCAGGGAAACGCCAGGAGTCAGTAGGAATTGGGCCGACTATTGACGAGACTGCCTGCTCACCCAACCCCACCGACCCTCACCGAGTCACAGTACCGATTCATGCTATCGATCGGACTCGGACGAATAAGGAGGGTAGCCCAGTACTGATCCACGGGAAAATACAAGGAGCGGAAGTGAAGATTTTTATCGACGGAGGAGCAAGCCACAGTTTAGTTAATACCGCAACCGCACGAAAACTGCAGCTGACACTTAGCCGTTGCTTACCGGAGATAGACGCACGCTTAGTCGACGGCACGCCACTGGCCATACGGGAAAAGGTAGAGAGAGTCAAAGTCCGCTGCGGGGGGAAATTTCGGGTTTACACAGGAAATGCTCGCAACAATACTGGATGGGCACGATATTTTACTGGGACGTGATTGGCTGCGACGGTATAACCCGCAAATTGACTGGACGACAGGTAGCTGCACCGTGCGAAGTAGTGGTAACTGGGTCGAGCTACCTCGCTGGAAGTCGCCCGAGTCTTCAACGGTACACGTGAACGCCATCACAATGAAACGGGCTGTCGCTGCTGGAGCTGACGTGTACGCAGTAGACATCGCAGAAGTAGAGGAACCAGAGCAGCCGAGTGATTTCAAGAAACTGCTGGCAGCCGTACCGCCCGAATTACAGGAACTGTTGAAACGATAACCCGGGATTTTCCCCGACGACTTACCGGAAGGGCTGCCACCTCAACGAGCACATGACCACCGAATCGAATTAGAACTGGGGGCACAGCCAACCGTACAGCGCCAGTTCAGACTGACACAGCCCGAGCTCGACGAACTAAGGAAGCAGTTAGATTACCTGTTAGAGAAAAAAATAATCAGACCGAGCTCGTCACCGTTCGCCGCACCAATACTATTCACGCCGAAAAAAGACGGGGGTTTTTGCATGTGTATCGACTACAGAGCACTGAACAGGGTAACAGCCAAGTCGCGGTACCCCATTCCCCGCGTCGAGGAACTGATCGACCAACAGCGAACAGCACGGGTTTTTTCGAAAATAGATTTACGGGGAGGTTACCATCAGATTAGGGTCGAACCATCGAACTGCGCCAAAACAGCTTTCAAGACTAGGTACGGGTCGTTCGAGTATACTGTGATGCAATTCGGGCTGACCAACGCACCGGCGACTTTTCAGATGACCATGAACGGGGCATTTAGGCCGCTCTTGGATAAATGTGTAATAGTTTACCTCGACGACATCCTAGTGTACAGTCGGGATAAGCAGCAGCACTTAGCAGATCTGGAAGCAGTGTTTAAGGTTTTAGACGAGCACAGATTACTTACCAAGGGTTCCAAGTGCGAGTTCTTCCACAATAGGTTAGAATGTTTGGGGCACGTTATTTCGGAGGCTGGAGTTGAAATCGACCCAAAGAAGCTGGATACGGTAAAAGCGTGGCATCCCCCGATGAACATCACGGAGCTGCAGAGCTTTTTAGGGTTATCTACGTCGGTTCGTCCCCGATATGGCACGGTTAACTGCCCCACTGACGGACTTACAGCGGAAGGGGGTCGCTTTTACGTGGGGGGAGAAAGAGCATGCTGCCTTCTCTGCCTTGAAAAATGTTCTCTGTTCCCCGCCCATCCTGCGCATCGCCGACCCACACCGCCCATTCGAAGTAGTTACCGACGCAAGCGATATCGCCATCGGAGCCATACTGCTACAGGATTTCGGCAATGGCCTACAGCCTATCGCATACGAGTCATGAAAACTGCATCCGCCCGAGAAAAATCACCCGATACACGACTGCGAAATGCTTGCGATCGTGCACGCGTTCAAAGTATGGCGCTGTTACTTGACTGGCGCGGACGTGACAGTACGGACAGACCATAAATCACTACAGTACCTTCGCGCACAGCCACACCTCAACCCACGACAGATTCGCTGGCTCGATTTCCTCGAGTCCAACTTTCACTACACGGTCACTTACAAAAAGGGAGCCTCGAACATCGCCGACGCACTGACCCGCCCCACTGCCCAGATCCACGCAATACTACTCGCACAGACAAGCCCGCTACTAATAGGCCTATTCACCCACGGGTACCAAACGGATCCATTCTTCACAGGAGGACATTCGCAGCAATTCGCAGTAGCAAAGGGAGCCTATTACGTAAAAACCGGGACTGGCCGCATTTGGGTGCCTGGGAATACACTGCTATGGGAATTACTGTTACAGGAGGCACACGATGGAGTTACCTCGGGGCATTTTGGAGTAGACAAAACATGGCAGCAGCTGCAGCGGTATTATTACTGGCCCGAAATGTTGACCGACGTACAACGACACGTGGCATCGTGTCCCACTTGTCAGCTCATGAAATCATCACGACAGCAGCCAGCGGGACAGTTGCAGCTGATACCACCCCCAGAGCATGCTTGGCAGCAGGTGACGATGGACTTCTCAAAGTCTAGCTTGACTTAGGAGCCATTGCTAGTTAGGTTCTTAGTAGTTTAGGTTTAGGGTTGAGGAGAGTGTCGAGAAAGTTGAGAAGGAGAAATGAGAGCCTTCACTATAGGTTTGCAACAACATATAGCAAAGGAACAAAGAAGGTGCATCACCAAACAAAGTTTATAATAGCTACACTAACTACAGCTACAGGCAGTTACAGATACATTCTGACACTCCCCCATAACTGCCTGCAACAGAAGCTAATGCAGAGACACCCCCTGAAGGGGTACACCAAGCGCAGTAGACGGAGAGGGCAAGTGAGGAGGAGGGACTATATGAGGAGAAGCTGCTGGCAGGTGAAGCTGCTGGCTCCAAGGCAGCTGCTTCCTGGAACCTTCCTCAATCCTCCAACTCCCCTTTCCACACTCCTCGACAACCCTAGCACCTCTCCCCTAGCTCCCCCACACCCTCACACCCACCCCCCCCCAGCGGCAGCTGCAGCAGTGGGAGAGAAAGGAGGAGGAGGGAAAGGGGATCACACACACCCATCACCCCCATACCCGCCACCCCCATAGCCTCCATTCCACGGCTGCACGCGCAGGAAGGAGACGAAGAACGGGGGGGGGGGGGGGGGGGGGGGGCAGGGCAGAACAGAGCGCACGAGGGCGTGGGTAGCAGCAGGGCGCACGAGGGCGTGGGCAGCAGCAGAGCGCACGAGGGCGCAGGCAGCAGTAGAGCGGCAACGGGCAGCACAGGCACGGGCACCAACGGGCGGCAACGGGCGGCAACGGGCGGCACAGGCACGGGCAGCAACAGGCAGCAACAGGCAGCACAGGCTCGGGCAGCAACGGGCGGCAACAGGCAGCACAGGCACGGGCAGCAACAGGCGGCAACGGGCAGCACAGGCACGGGCAGCAACAGGCAACAACGGGCAGCACAGGCACAGGCAGCAACGGGCGGCAACAGGCAGCACAGGCACGGGCAGCAACAGGCAGCACAGGCACGGGCAGCAACGGGCGGCAACGGGCAGCACAGGCTCGGGCAGCAACAGGCGGCAACGGGCAGCACAGGCACGGGCAGCAACGGGCGGCAACGGGCAGCACAGGCACAGGCAGCAACAGGCAACACAGGCTCGGGCAGCAACGGGCGGCAACAGGCAGCACAGGCACGGGCAGCAACAGGCGGCAACGGGCAGCATAGGCACGGGCAGCACAGGCACGGGCAGCAACAGGCAGCAACGGGCAGCACAGGCACAGGCAGCAACGGTCGGCAACAGGCAGCACTAGCACGGGCAGCAACGGGCGGCAACAGGCAGCACAGGCACGGGCAGCAACAGGCAGCACAGGCACGGGCAGCAACGGGCGGCAACGGGCAGCACAGGCTCGGGCAGCAACACGCGGCAATGGGCAGCACAGGCACGGGCAGCAACGGGCGGCAACAGGCAGCACAGGCACAGGCAGCAACAGGCAGCAACGAGCAGCACAGGCACAGGCAGCAACGGGCGGCAACAGGCAGCACAGGCACGGGCAGCAACATGCAGCACAGGCACGGGCAGCAACGGGCAGCACAGGCACAGGCAGCAACGGGCGGCAACAGGCAGCACAGGCACGGGCAGCAACATGCAGCACAGGCACGGGCAGCAACGGGCGACAACAGGCAGCACAGGCTCGGGCAGCGATCAGGCGGCAACGGGCAGCACAGGCACGGGCAGCAACAGGCAGCACAGGCACGGGCAGCAACGGGCGGCAACAGGCAGCACAGGCACGGGCAGCAACAGGCAGCAACGGGCAGCACACGCGCAGGCAGCAACGGGCGGCAACAGGCAGCACAGGCACGGGCAGCAAAAGGCACGGGCAGCAACGGGCGGCAACAGGCAGCACAGGCACAGGCAGCAACAGGCAGCAACGGGCAGCACATGCACGGGCAGCAACAGGCAGCAACAGGCAGCACAGGCACGGGCAGCAACGGGCGGCAACAGGCAGCACAGGCACGGGCAGCAATGGGCAGCAACGGGCAGCACAGGCACGGGCAGCAACAGGCAGCAACGGGCAGCACAGGCACAGGCAGCAACGGGCGGCATCAGGCAGCACACGCACGGGCAGCAACAAGCAGCACAGGCACGGGCAGCCGTACCGAGTCCAGGAGCGGCGGTGCATACAGCTGTGGGGTCGGCGCCGTGGGCTGCTGCTGGGGCGGCTCGCGGGGTCTAGGGGCGGCTGCTGTTGCTGGGGCAGCTGCTCCAGGCACTGCTGCTGCTAGGGCGGCCGCTGCAGTGGCGGCGACTACAGGGGCTGCTGCTGTTGGGGCGGCGGCTCCAGGGGCTGCTGCTGCTGGGGCGGCTGCTCCAGACGCTGCTGCTGCTGGGGCGGCCGCTGCAGTGGCGGCGGCTCCAGGGGCGGCTGCTGTTGGGGCGGCGGCTCCAGGGGCTGCTGCTGCTGCTGGGGCGGCTGCTCCAGGGGCTGCTGCTGAGGTCCAGGGGCGGCGCTAGTGCAAGGTAGGCCCGCGCTCGGCTGCAACGCTGGCGCGGGCGCAGGTGAGGCAGAGGCGGTGGCCAGGGGGGAGGGCGCCGCGACGAGTAGGAACGGCGCCCAAGGGGTGCCGCTACGAGTAGGGGCGACGCCCCAGGGGCGCCGCGACGAGCAGGGGCAGCGTCCAGGGGGCGCCGCGACGAGCAGTGGCGACGCCCTGCGGGTCCCGCAGTGGCGTCACGACGAGCAAGGCGACGCCGTGCGGGTCCTGCAGGGGCGTCGCGACGAGGAGGAGCGGTGACGCCCGGGTCTTGCAGGTGCGTCGCGACGAGCAGGAGCGGCGCCTCGCAGGGCGCCGCGAAGTGGAGGGTACGGGCTGGCAAAACAGGCCCGCGCGTGGACGTGAAGCAGGCGCGCAGGCGGCGTGAGGGCAGGCCACGCGCGGGGTAGGAAGACGCCGCGGTGCCCGCCGTGCGCCCCGAGCACACATCGGGTAGAAAATCGTCGTGCGCAAAATACGCCGCGCGTCCGAGGCGCGCGGCAGGACGATAGGCAGCGGAAGCAGGAAGGCAGCATGAAGACGTTACCTGCTCTGAATACCATCTCAAAGTCTAGCTTGACTTAGGAGCCATTGCTAGTTAGGTTCTTAGTAGTTTATGTTTAGGGTTGAGGAGAGTGTCGAGAATGTTGAAAAGATGAAATGAGAGCTTCACTATAGGTTTGCAACAACATATAGCAAAGGAACAAAGAAGATGCACCACAAAACAAAGTTTAAAATATCTACACTAACTACAGCTACAGGCAGTTACAAATATATTCTGACAGGACTTCGTCACGGGGTTACCAGCTGGGGCGAGTGGGAACGACGCGATCCTGGTCGTCGTCGATTGACTGACGAAAATGGCACATTTCGCAGCCTGCAAAAAATCAATCACAGCCGAAGAAACAGCACGCCTCTTCATCTCCACCGTCGTTCGACTGCACGGGATACCAGCCGCGATCATCAGCGACCGCGACATGAAATTCACCAGCAACTTCTGGCGGAACCTATGGCAGCAGTTCGGCACACGACTGCAGTTCAGTTCATCATACCACCCCGAAACCAACGGACAGACAGAACGGACAAATCAGACCATGGAACAGCTCATCAGGGCCACGTGTGACGACCCGACCACGTGGGAACAGCAACTGCCACTAATCGAATTCGCGTACAACAACTCGCCATCCGCCACGACCCAACAGTCACCATTTTAGCTAAACTACGGACAAGACCCGACAGTACCCACGACCCCGAATCCCGACAACCCAGTACCACGAGCACAACAGTTCGCCGAAATATCACAAGCAGCACGGACCCGGGCAGTAGACGCAATAAAAAAATCGAACATCATCGCTAAAAGCAACGCCGACCGCCACCGCAGACCCGTCACTTACCAGCCCGTCGACTTAGTTTTACTTGACACTCAGAACCTCCGACTGCCCATCACCCCGAAACTCCGGGCCCGATACTGCGGGCCATTTCGCATAAGCCACATGCTTATACCCGTCACCGCCCACCTCCTCCTCCCTGCTGACTGGTACGTCAGCCCCTCATTCCACGTCAGCCTACTTCGCCCTTACGTCCCGTCCACGAGCCAACTGCCACGCAATCGATCGGCCAGCATGACAAGACCACCAACTGAACCAATCATCACCCCCGAGAAAATCCTGAGGCACGGAGTTCGCGACCCTCGAGGAGCCCAAAGGATCGAGTTCTTACTCCGTTGGAAGGACCGTACACCCACCAAAGACAATTGGGTTCCACTGGACAGAATCGAAAACCACCCCGTCCTCACCGAGTATCTGCGCAGCCGAAATTTCAGGGATGTACATGCACTTTCGTAAGGAGGACCTCCTTAGGGGGGGGGGGGGGGGGGAGGGGGTAGTGCAAGGAAAATTCCTTTTCCTTACTTCGCATCCCTGCTCAACGCGTACATCACTGTAGCACCACAGTCAGCACCGTTACCACTCGCAACCCTCGCATCGACAATCCGCCCGCCACCTTCGCACATCGCACCCCGACCTCACGGCTCGGCGGGTAACCCGCGCTCCGGGCCTCCGCTTCGACACTTTTTCCCAACCTCAGTCCCATGCCCGTCGCGCGACAACCACAGTCCATTCCCGTTACCACTGTAGTTTCGTTATATAGTATTCTTCGCTCATGCCTTCGCTCATTTGGACTCTTACTTCGATAGTGCAATTCTAGTTAGTTCACTCAATTGCACTCGTAACACCTTCTCTCATACGTTGTACTCGTTTGACACCTAGTGCAATCCTCGCTTTCTCGTTCCATTACACCCGTAAGAGATGCACACAAATCAGTGTCACTATGGCTGGGCGAGCTCTAGGAATAAACAGACGGGCATCGTACACAGGTCAGGGCGTACATTTCCAGTTCATGCTTCGTGGCTCAGGACTGTTTTACACGGTGGAAAGCGGTTTCCGGGGTTTAGATATACGACCTGACCACGCCGTTAGGCGCCAGCCTGTCGGGGCGCGCTGAGCTGATCCCTATGACTTCTGGAAGTGTGCTCAACTGGTGAACACTTGAACACTTTCAGCTTGCACCAAAGCAATTTGGTGTCCAAGCCTGCGGCCCTTCGATGTAGCGAGGAGAGGGTAACCATTTTTGTGTGCATTTTTTTCGCTGCGTTTGGTCATTCGCAGCGATGGAGCGTGGCCGTCGTGAGCGACCGGCGCCGATCGCCGTCGTGCCCGTTATTCTCGTTATTGCGTGCATGGCAAGACAAATACGAGCAGCATCGAACGACCCTAGGGAAGCAGCAGCGAGTGCAGCAGCGGCAGGGGCGGAACTAGGAGCGGAAGCGACACGGAAGCTACCACTGGCGGAAGAATGCGCGGGCGGAGCCGGAGCAATGACGCGCGCACTTGGGAGAGCGGGCACCGGCGCGGATACCGCACGCAATGGATCCCGCGAGGGATGGGGGGACATGAACGCGGGCGAGGGTACGCGGTACCCGGTGGAGCCGCGGAGGGGCGTAGTGACGCGCGGGGGAAGGCAAGCGGGGCGCGGCGGAAAGCAAGCGGGGCGCGGGGGAAGGCGCGCGGGGCGTATCCTCCTGCATGAGATGGAGGAAGGCGGGGCGGTGGTTGGGCGCGTGGCGGCCCTGGAAGACGAGCTCAATGTCGCCGCGGGGGGAGCCGTGGGGGGGCCAGCGGTGGCGGGGGGAGCCGTGGCGGGGCCAGCGGTGGCGGGGGGAGCCGTGGCGGGGGAAGTGGTGGCGGGGGGGGAACAAGCGTCGCAGCAACCCGCGTTGCAGGCTGCTGCGCCAGCCGCACAAGGCACTAGTGAGAATGGAAGCGTGGCAGGTGCTGGCGCGGCCGTGGAATCAGTGGGAGGAGGGGAGAGAGGGGGTGAGCGAGGAGAGGCGGGAGACGGCTGGAAAGGGGATGAAGGAAGAATGGAGGGGGGTGGGACTGACAGAGGGAGTGCTGCTGCTGCTGCTGGGACCATCAAGCTTGACTGGTACGGCCATTGTGAGCATCACGGGCATCACGGGCTTCAACCCCACTTCTCTCACGACTCTCTGGAAACGCTGTTGTGATTTCTGGGTTTTCCGGCCCTTATGCTTGCCAGCATTCTCATTCCAACACTCTCCCCTTCGACCCACGCAATTCCTGTCACACAAGAAACTCACAAACCACTCTTAAATCCTTCACAAGCCACTCTCAAACCACTCCCCAGTACCGTTCCAACCATCCCCTCTCTCTTCCCCTCTTGCCTCCGCAGGACCCGCCCCCTGACCATGAAGCAGAGGGTAGAATCGGACCAGCGCAAGGTGGACAGGGGGGTGTGCAGCGGTACAGTGCGGTACGACAACCAGTACAGCAAGGGGCACATGGCATGGATACCGCTCCCGGGGCGATACGTGCTCATGGATTGCCATCGCAACCAGGTGGGTCAAGTCAAGCAAGGGCACTGCATGGCCTATGGCCAATGCCGTATGGGTTACTGGCCATCGCCAAGTGCGTACGGGCTATGGAATAAGGTCTAGGTACTTGGATCTAGGGTCTCTAGGGTCTAGGATAACGGGTTAGGGGAGTGGGCTGGGCTAGGGGCTGTGTTACCCTTGCGTGCACTCTTTCTCCATGCAACCCCCACCACACCACCGCCTCCTGCTGCCTCCCAAATTCCTCGCCAGGCTCTCTCGCTCTCGCTCTTGCCTTCTCTTCCTTCCCTTACCCCCCATCGATGACTTTCAAAATATCAATGTGCCCTTCCGCTAGTTCATCCATTCAGACATCTGTTCACCAAGGCCATTTGGACCCACCGCATGCATGCATTTGAACAACCCCCGCTTCAGGGCCCCCTCTCAAACCAGTCCCCCAGGCCTTTCTCTTGCTGCTCTCTGTCTCTTCCCCCACGCGTGGGACTCTGGCCCCCGTGTGGCATGGCATGGCAGCTAAGAGCAACATGTGCGGTGCATCCGCTATTGCCCCGGGCATTACACTTGCCGCTCTCTGCCTCTCTCCCCCGCGCACGCACACCCGTCGCAGTTGCCATCCCATCCCTGGTGTGCCCATCCCCTGCCCTCCCATCTTGATGTTCCAGCTGAGCAATCGGGTGCGGTGCATCCGCAACTACCTCACGCTCTCAGGCTACCTCAACCGCACGCTCGTCGTGCCGCTGCATGCCGCAGACGCCAGTACCGGCGGCAAGACCGGCAGCAGCAGCAGCACGGCGCCTGTTGCTGACTCGCACGGCAACAGGTTGAGCTACGACCGGCGTGTTTTCTTCGACGTAGCGCACGCGCAGCTGTGCTTCGGACCCACCACCGTCATGACTCCACTGCAGGTGCTGCACTTGCAGGGGGACGACGGCACTCTCGGCACGGGTGCTGCCGGCGTCCCTGATGCTGCGGATTGGACCAGTGCTGCTGGTGGGGCCGACGCTGCTGGTTCCGCCACAGCAAGTGCTCTGGACGGGAACACAGGCAGCTCTGGCGTTACAGCGGCTGCTGCGCCTGCGCCTACGGCACCTACCAGAGATGCCGAGGCAGCAGGTGCAGCTGGGGGGTTGTTGATCAGCCAAGCCACAGGGGTCGATGGCTCCACGCTGCGTGATGCCCTGCGTGTGGACCAGGTAGTGTGTCTCACAGGCCCGTGCTACAACCAGCAGGGCATGGGCGAACCAGACCACCTGCCAGACCTGGCCCATATCACCTTCTCCCCCACACTCACCTGGACTTATGCCAATCTCTCCGCCAGCCATCCGATTAACAGCACCGATGCTGCTTACATCGACTCGCTCCTCCTCCCCTCCTCTCCCTCCTCTCCCTCCTCTCCCGCCCCCTCCCTCGCCTCATCTTATATGGTGACCTTTGGCGATTTGGGATCAACAATGATGGATGCGTCTAGGAGTCCCCAGGGAGAGTACATGAACGGTCTAGATGTTCCCTTCTTCAGCCTGCAGGGGTGCAACAATCGCCTAGCCATTCAGCCACATCCCGCTGTGCTTGCTGCTGCAGACGCGTTTGTGAGGAGCGTTGTGCTGGGAGGAAGAGCGAGGGAGTGGGAGGGTGCTTCTGGGGATAACAGCAGCGACAGCTCAGTCGTAAATAGCAGCACCAGCAGCGGCAGTGGGAGTGGGAGTGGGAGTGAGAGTGGGCGGTACATGGCAGTGCACTGGAGGCGCGGCGATATGATGAGTCAGTACAAGAAGGCGGGGCATGTGAGTGCGCAGCAGGCGGGGCTGTGTGTAGCGCACAAGATGCAGCGCTCCTACAACACCACTGCCCTCTTTCTTGCCACAGACGCCAGTGCTGATGAGGTGAGTCAGGGTGACTGACTAAAGAGTCGACTCGAAAGGCATGTGATTGCGCAGCAGACGGGGCTGGGCTGTATGTGGCGCACAAGATGCAACGCTCCTACAATACAACACCACTGTCCAGTTGACTTTTGAGTCGACTCAAAAGTTCCTCGCCACAGGCGCTGATACCAACGAGGTGAGAGTCAGGGCGTCCCACGAGGTGTGACTATTTAGTTGATGTGGAAGGCATGTGACTGCACACTGCACAGCAGGCGGGGCTGTGTGGGGCACACAAGATGAGCAGCGATCCCACAACTCTCCAGCAACACCACTGCTCTGTTTCTTTGCCACTGACGCCAGTACTGACGAGGTGAGCCGGCCGATGGGGTGGGGGGATGTGAGCAGGTGGGCAGGCGTGGAGGGGATGGGAGGAGTTGAGGTGGGCGAGCTGTGGGGAGGTAATGGAAGGAGGGTGGGATTTTTTTCTTCTTCTTTCTCACCCTGACTGTGATTGTGGTGCGAGAGTGCATAGCGTGTGCTGCATCATGTGCATTCCTGTTTGCAACAAGTTGGAATTTCACTTTAGTTGACACCACCGGCCGACGCTAGCTTGCAAGCAGTCGTTCCAGTATGGACATGCTTCTTCGTTTCCACTTCTTTTGCCTGCTTTGACTGGTCCCACAAACCCATTCATCAATCGCTTTTTCTCCGCTCCTCTACACTTTCCATGCTCTCTCTTGCACTCAAACCCTCCTCATCTCCGCGTTTCTTTCTCAAACCCCTCTCTTCTGTTCTGCTCGCCTTCCACCACTGCTAGATCTCTGAGTTGGAACAATCCATCCAATCAGTCATCCCAGGCCTGCAGTTGTTCCAGCTGCCTCAAGATTTCACAGCACAGGCATGGGCAGACATGCTCCTGCCCTTCCATTTCGAGCACTTGACCACAGTCAGGGCGACACTAGACAAGGCCGTATGCGCTATGGCTGATGTGTTTCTCGGGACAAAAATATCCTCTTTTTCACAGGACATTTTCAGGATTAGGTCGGGTCTCCGCTTCAATGCATGCGATGATTCCACAGTTTGCGCTGATGAGACGAGCTATAAAACATGAATAAATTGCCCATTTCGGGCTGTGATGTACGGTATGACTAGTACCTATGACTAGGAAAGTCTTTCCATCGCCGGCCCTGATCTGATCGCAACAGTTGAAAACAAACGGAGGAGAGCATACCGTGGATCTGGTTTAGGGCATGGCAAAGCCTCATAGAAAACAATGTTATCCACATCGCAAGGACTACCGTACCGTCATACCCCGGATATACCCCCATGGGGGGCAATAATAAAGCAGGTTTTTTTAGGGGGGTGGGCTTATAATCGAGTAAATTTATAAGCGCCGGCGTATATAAAATGACATATATGTTTTTATATATTTTTGAACACCAAACTGTAGATCTCGTGCTTGCCCTTTCAATCGAGTCGAAGTTACATGGGGTCGTCTGTGAAATTCTCGCGCGCGCAGGGAGGTACACCCAATCTGACTCACATCCAGCTCCTGACAGCTCATGACAGCTCCTGCTGACTGGACCCGAATCCAGTGCAGGGTCCGAATGTGAAGGGAACCGAATCTGCAAAACATCTGCCTGCTAAAGTAGAAATCGTTAAAGTGTTTTGAAAACATTTCAAAATTTTAAGTTTACGTGCGCTTATAATAAAACAAGTTTTTTCAGGGGGTGCGCTAATAATCGAGCAGGGGATATAAGCGCCACACGCCAATTAAAAGCGCCAGGCGCTTATCCGAGGGTGGCGCTTATATCCGGGGTATGACGGTATGTTACCCTTCTTCCAATGTCACATCCGCACATCCTCTCCACTTCCTCCCCTTGTCCTTCGTCCCCACGTGCTCAGTCTTTCCCATCTTCCCCCACACAACATGCACTTGTTTCCCACAAAACCCCACCTCCACCACCCCTTCCTCCGACACCCCACTACCATACACATCCACCTGCCTCAGAGCCCTCGCCTCTCTGAGCGACTCCGACAGTGACTTGAGCACCACACACTTCCTCAACTGAAGCACTTATAAGTGCAGCAGCAGGCCTAGGGTGGGCGGGAGGGAGTGCAGCGGCTAGCAATGGCTGAAGCAGGCCACTCGGAGTGCAGGCAGGGAGGATAAGGAGCCAGGAAGGTGCGTGACTGAGCCGCAGTCGGCAATTTTGAGGCGGGTTAGGCGGGGCAACAGGCCAAAGGTCTCAGGAAGGGAGGAGAATTTCGGGCAGTCAAATATGCTGAGGAATGTCAGGGCGGGCAGGGAGGAAAAAGAATCGGGCAGATGGTGGAACTTCTTGCAAGAGTCGACAGAGAGGCGCTGCAGGGAGCATAGCGAGCCGAAGCCAGCAGGCAGGGTGGTGAGATCATCACAGTAAGTGAGGGTGAGTGTGAGCAGGCGAGGGAGGAGGCAGAAGGAGGGAGGCAGGCTGAAGTCGTAAGAGCAAAAAACCGAGGAGACCTCCTCAAGGGAAGACAAGCCGGCCAGAGTGTCACGAAGAAAATAATTTGATCCACCATCAATGCTCAGCTTCTTCAGAGCTCTCAAGTGGCCAAACCCCGGGGGTAGAGTTTCCAGACCGCGGCACCAGTAAACAGTCAGCTCTTCCAGGCGAGACAGCTTCGAAATCGCCCCAGGCAGGTGCTCTAGGTTTCCGGTATCGAGGAACAGGCGGCGAAGGGAGGTCAGGGTCACAGAGGGACTACGGAATCCCGTCTATCGAGTAGCAGCCACTCAGCTCCAGCCATTCCAAGGCTGCCAGCTGGCCCAGATCTTCCAGGAGCGACACACGGGTGTGGATATCGCTGTCGCACTCTATGCGCAGCGTGCGGAGGGCGCGCAGGGGGGCAAAGCCAGGCAGGGGGGAGGGAAGGTGTATGTTGTGGAGGCGGAGGTGTGTGAGAGAGGTGAGGTCCGTGAGGAAGGGAAGAAAGCGCGCGGTCGTAAGAGACGGACATATTGTACTTGCTGTAGTGTAGCTTCAGCGATCGCAGGCACAGGGCGAGGCGGGAGAGAGATTGCGGGAGGCCGAGCCAGTTGCCACGCAGGGAGAGCGAGTGAAGGTTGGTGAGATGGCCTAGGTCGGAGGGCAGGGAGACGGAGGAGTAGAGGCCGTCAATGGAGAGGTGCGTGAGGGAGAGCAGCGAGCACAGATGCGGAGAAATCGTGCCTCTTCTCCAGCCGTCCCCGAAGCTGGCCACACGGAAGCTGAGATGCTCCAGACACGGGCCAAGTGACGAGTGGTTGTGGTAGGCCGTTTCTCCTCCACCTGTTGCTGCAAGTGCAGCTGCTGCGGCTACGGGTGTGGCCGTGGATGCTGCGGCGGCGGTAGCAGAAGAATCAGTCCGTGCTGTGTGTGCCAAGTCGTCAGCTTCCACCCACAGGACGTACCCCACCTTCACGTATGCCAGCGACGGCAGTGCGAAGAGCGCTTCAGGAAAGCGCTCCTCATACATGTCGCTTGACACCTCGAGCCGCTCCAAAGATACGAGCGCGCTTAGCGGCTCGAGGGACACGATGGATTCGACACTCCTGATGGTTAGATGGCGCAATGCGGTTGCAAAGGGCAGGTTGGGTGGGAGCGACTTGAGCTTCAAGCAGGCGCTGATGGTGAGATGTGTGAGGGAGTGCACGGACGCGAGCTGGAAAGCGCCCATGTTGGCGCACGAATCCAGGGCTACGTGTTCGAGATTCGCCCATTTCTCGCATGCGTCTGGGAATGCATCGGTGAAGTTTCGCAGCTCCAGTCGCCGCATCTGCTGCAGCGCGCCGACGTGAGGCGAGAAGCGATCGACCTGCCACGAGCCGTCGACGTGGAGAGAGGTGAGCGAGGCGAGATCGCCGAGCGAATCCGGCAGGCGCCGCATTTCCTTGCAATTCGTAAACGAAAGGTGCTCCAGGCTCTTTAGCCGGCCGAAGATTTCGGGCAGCTGCTGCAGCAACGGGCAGCTCAGGTAAAGTTCTTGCAAGGCAGACAGCTGGCACATCTCGTCGGGCAGCGAGCGGAGAACCTTGGAGCACAGGCGGAACACGCGCAGGGACGACAGCGACGCGACTGTAGCAGGAAGCTTCGTCGTGTGGCCGAGACACTCGCGCAGCGAGAGCTCTTGCAGGCGCGACGAGGCGACGCGGAAGAAATTCTCAAGAAATTTTGTGTCGATTCGAAAGTGGGAAGTTCCGGTGAAACGGGGAGGGGCGATGCTGAGGCGGGACAGGTGAGGGCGCGCGGAGAGCAGGCGAGACAGGAACTCCGCCCCTTCTTCCGCCTGCTCTGGCGCCCTCGGAGGTCGCGCGTCGGCCCCCATACTCCTCCCCCCCTCTCTCCCCCCCCCCCCCCCCCTCAGGTCGCCTCAACAGGCGTCGGGAGGGGCGACCTGGGGGGGACCGTGCGTCGGAGCAGCCGCCCTTGGTGCAACCGCCTCTGGCCCCTGGAGCAGCCACCCCTGGCCCCTGGAGCAGCCGCCCCTGGTGCAGCCGCCCTTGGCCCCTGGAGCAGCCGCCCCTGGTGCAGCCGCCCCTGGACCTCAGCAGCCGCCCCTGGCCCCTGGAGCAGCCGCCCCTGGACCCCGCGACGCCGCCCCTGGACCCGGTGCCGCCGCCTCCCTGTGCTGCCCATTGCCGCCCATTGCTGCCCGTTGCTGCTCCCCCCCCCCCCCCCCCCCCCCCCCCCCCCCCCCCCCCCTTCTTCGTCTCCCTGCTGCGCGTGCAGCCGTGGAATGGAGGGTATGGGGGTGGCGGGTATTGGGGTGATGGGTGGTATGTTTCCCTTTCCCTCCTCCTCCTTTGTCTCCCACTGCTGCAGCTGCCGCTGAGGGGGGTGGATGTGTGGGAGCCAAAGGCGTGGTGCTAGGGGGTGGGGTGTGAGTGAACCTAGGGAACAGCAAGGGGTGTGTGAAAAGGGGGTTGGGATAGTTTTGGGGAGGTTGAAGGGGGTGGCTGCCGTGAAGCCTGCAGCTCCAGTCGCCCGTGAGACCGTTGCGCCCGTCGCCCATGAGCCCGTTGCGCCAGTCGCCCGTGAGCCCGTTGCTCCTGTCGCCCGTGACTCCATTGCTCCTGCCGCTCAGAGTTAGCCACGGAGCCAGTTACTCCAGTAGCCCGTGTGCCAGCTGCTCCAGTTGCCAGTGTGCCAGTTGCTCCAGTTGCCCGTGTGCCAGTTGCTCCAGTTGCGCCGTGTGCCAGCAGCTTCAGCTGCCGCCCACTACCTCCTCTCCTCTCATAGTCCCTCCTCCTCCTCACTTGCCCTCTGCGATAGCCTCTAGCTTTGCTTACATTTGTGAACTTTAAACTGTTGCTTCTTGTACTTGTGCTCAGAATGAGTGGTGACATTGTGATCCACCCTGAGCTTGCTTTGCTTTGCTTGTTGTGCTGATCATACCCCAATTTGACTATGGGGGTGTGTCAGAATGTTATGTTTGTCTAGCCTGCAGTGGGGTACTCAATAGTGAGTACAACCCAATTTAGGGTTTTCTATATGTACTCAAGTACTCGCTAGTGAAACCATCACTTCTCTCATCATTCCTATTCTCACAGGGTGTGCAGATGGAGTTAGCGGGTGAGACGCCTTCACCTTTCCTGTCAGGCCTGGTCAAATCAAGGAAGGTGAGGACGGAGGTCAGCGAGCTGTGTTTCAAAGGTCGGCGGTATAAGGGCGCAAGAGAGGTGCTGATGGCTGCATCAACATATTTCAAGGAAGCATATGAGGCCCCTCTCCAGGAGAGTCTTACCGAACCGTGGCCGATAGAGGAGGGGTGCACTCTACGGGACTCTGACAGGGCTCAGCTCAGTCGGGGGTGGACGGAGCAGGAGGTAAAGGCGGCGCTCAAAGGTCTCCCATCAGGAAAGGCTCCTGGACAGGATGGGTTGCCGAAGGAGTTTTTCGAGCGTAACTGGGACCTGCTGGGGCCGGCGGTGCTGAAGGAGATACGAGCGTTTGAGCTGTCGGCGGAACTCTCGGAAACTTTCACTACTGCAGTCACAATTCTCCTGCACAAAAAAGGTGACAAGGAGTCAATAGGCAACTACCGCCCGATTACTCTGCTGAGTTTTTTCTACAAGCTGCTCGCGAAGGTGTTGGCAAATAGGATTAAAGTGGCCTTACCGCGGGTGATCTCCCCGAACCAGTTCGGCTTCCTCCCCGGCAGAAGCTTGAAGGAAGCAGTATCACTGGTAGCAGACGTGATTGACGCAGCGGCGGAAGGAGATGAGGACTGGCTACTTCTTCTCGTGGACTTTCAAAAAACGTACGACTCGGTGTCTCAAGAGTACCTGTTCAAGACACTGAGGGACATGGGTTTCCCCGACAAATTTATAAAGTGGGTGAAGGGTCTTCATGATGGTGCTGCCACGAGGCTCCTACTCAACGGCTGGTTGGGGGATCGAGTGGAGATGCTCAAGGGAGTGCGGCAGGGGTGCCCGCTCGCACCGTACTTGTTTCTTTGCGCCGTCGAGCCACTCTGCCAGGAGGTGGAGAGGAGAGGGCTTGGAGTAAGGAAAAGAGGAGTGGCTGGGGAGTTGGCGCATGTCGGTTATGCTGACGATACTACACTGGTGCTGAAAGGAAAGGAGCAGGTGGTCAAGGCGAAGTCCCTGCTAGACGACTTTGCTGCGATCTCGGGGTTAATGATAAACAGAGAGAAAACGATACTGATGCCGCTGGGGATTAACAGGAGACGAGTGCAGCCGGACGACTCACCTTTCAATTGGGCGACAAAAGACGTACCAGAGCGGCTGCTCGGAGTGTGGATTACGTCTGGGGGGTCGCCGGTGCTGGCTTGGGATAAAGCTTTCGAGAAGGTGAGCGCGGTGTTGAGCTGCTGGGCATCGAAACACCTGAAGACTTCGGCGAGAGTCACCATCATAAAATGCTACGCGATGCCGATTCTTCTTTTCCAAGCGCAGATTTACGCTCCACTGCACGACATATGGAAGAAGGTGCAGCGGCTGATCCACAGCTTCATCACAGACGGCAAGTCACTATTTGACAGGCACTTTTTCTTGTGGAGCTATGAGCTGTCATGCAGGGAGCGGAAGGAGGGGGGGTTAGGGGTTATCGACCCAAAGCACAGGATCAACGGCATGGTTATTCAAAACCTTGGAAAGGCAGTAGCGGAGCAGGATCCAATGAGAAATTGGTTGTGGGAGAAGGCGGCGGGATTCCCTCTCGGTCTGGCGACGATTTACGCACACCCGGCGGTGATGAAACACCGGAGGAAGGGCGGGGTCAGGTGGAAGGCGACTCTCAGGGCCTTGTGGGACTCCAAGATTGTCACGGTGGGGGAGCCTGAGAACAGATGGGACGCGGAAGGCGAGAAGCTGCTCTTCAACCGGAATTTTTTTTTCAGTGGCAAGTCGCCTTTCGGAGGACAGAAAGGATCACTCTGCCTGGAGAACGTCAAACTAGGCGACCTGGTTAAAAAAGGAGGTGATGGTAGTAGGAGTTTAAAGGATGAGGCTACTTTGGAAAGAGAGTTGGGCGGAGAGGACCAACGGAAATGGGCAGTCAAGGCTTGGGAAGCAACACCACAGGAATGGAGGGACATGGTGCTGAAAACCCTAACGGCGGAGGAGGTTTTTATGGCCGCCAGGCTGGTGCAGACGGCATCTTACCGGCCGGGCAAATTTTTCTACTACAGACTAGAATATGCAAGAGATGGGGTACTATACGGTACGAGAGTTTCGGTTGACAAGAAGAAACACATAAGCCAGATCGAGTACGCCAGCATGACGGACATCAATTTCCTGCGGGCTACCCCTATGGTGGTGATGGAGGGGAAGGTACGGGGTGCTCTTGGTGCTCCAAGGATGCGGCTGCTACGCTCACAAATATGTGGCAAAGGAGAGCGTGCCGAGCTGAAACAACTGCGGAAGGCGATGAAACCCCCGGTGTCCCAGCCGAAGCAACACCTGCAGTGGGAGGAACTGCTGGGGAAGAAGGTGGACTGGAAAAGGGCTATCCGAGTCCGGGACTCCCTCTCGACCCCAAGCAGGGCAAGAGAAATCATCCTACGGATACACAGTAACAATCTTCAAGTGGGGGAACGCCTCCCTTTCCTGGGGGCACGGGCGAGATGCATACACTGTGGGGCAGTGGAGTCGCAGAATCACTGCCTTTTCAGCTGCCCGTCAATACAACCTGTGGTCGGAATGATGAAGGCGGCAGTGCAGTGGATGAACCCTGGCAGGGAGGTGGAGTCCCTTGGTGACATGCTTTTCCAGGAGAGCGGCACGTCGACGGGTTTTCCAGAAGCAGCGCTAATCTCCTCCACAGCGCACCAAATCTGGTTGGAGAGGTGTAATGCAGTTTTCAGGGGGAGCCGCTTCCAGCCAAAAAGAGCCCTGCGGTGGATTGCTGTCAGCTTCACGAGACATTTGAAAATCTACAGTCGGGCGCGGAAACGGGAGGCAAACAAGCCCGGGATGAGAAGGAAAGGGGAATGGTGCCATCTGGACGCTGACGAAGCGAGTGTCATGCGCAGGCTATTTGATTTGGAGGCCTCAATGACGTGGAGATCGGGTTTCAAAGCAGTATGGGATGATAGGGGGATAGCCTTTCAGCCACAGTAAAAGAGATAAGGGGGGTGGGGTTACAATAGTAACTTTCTACACTCTCCTAGCTCCAGTTACGACTGAGGATAAGTGTATGCATGTTGTATAGTTACATCCACCAAAAAAAAAAAAAAAAAAAAAAAGATAAGCAACGTGTACAAATCAAAACAAACGTATCGTGTGATCGCCCTGGTGGTAACCAAAATGCCTACCTGGTTAACATTATTACCTGAGTGGTAATGAACAGTGCATTTCGAAATCCAAATTGGTAACTGATCATTTCAACCGTAGTGTATACCGTACGTACATACTATAACTCAGCAAAACGGTAATCGTTAAGAGAAAATGGTTCTTGTTGTAATAGATGTACATGTATAAATTGAACATGTGAGTCTAAAATGAAAACAATAAAGGCTATATACATCTATTGACAGATTATTGTTGCGCTATATTCTAGAAACCAAAATCTCCCATGAAAATATGTGTACATATGTGTGATACTAGGGATACTATATAAATATATTGTGAAAGAACAAGGAATGATTGCATTGAGCAGCATGAGGAGTACAAGTAGGAAACCCTAAAGTGTTGTACCCCATATGAGCTACCCCACTAGACGAAGCACCCAGAGAACCTCCAGGCCCAGCACCACCAGACGCCACACGAACAGGTCCAGCTCCCTCAGGCTCCACACCTCCAGGCGTAGTACCCCCAGGCTCAGCACCCTCAGGCTCAGCACCCCCAGGCGTAGCACCCCCAGGCTCAGCACCCCCAAGCTCAGCACCCCCAGGCTCAGCACCCCCAGGCTCAGCACCCCCAGGCTCAGCACCCCCAAGCTCAGCACCCTCAAGCTCAGCACCCCCAGGCGTAGCACCCTCAGGCTCAGCACCCCCAGGCGTGGCACCCACACGCTCACTACCCCCAGGCTCAGCACCCTCAGCAGCACTAGAGTCACCAGTAACCTCGACAAGCTCGACTGCGTCTACCTGGGACACACCTGAAGGGGCAGGACCCTGAGAGGGGAGGGGGTCTATCGGGGGGGGACCTGGCACAAGGAAGAGCGGTGGCGGGGGGAGGGACGAAGTGCGGTAGGGGAAGACGTCAAACGTGACGTCCTGGGAGGACAGAACACGGCGAGAGGTGGGGTGGTAGAACTGCCACCCAGGCGTGTCAGGGGGGAAGCCAAGGAAGACGCAAGGAGCAGCACGAGGGGACAGCTTGTCCGCTGACAAGTCGCAGACAAACGCCCCAGATCCCCAGACACGGAACGCAGACGCATCACCAACCTTCCCCGTCCACAGCAAAGCTGGGGAGGTCTCCGGCCTAGAGACCCTGGGGTGAAGGTTGATCTGATGCGCCGCGTACAAAACCGCAAACGGCCACAGAAAATGGGGGGCAGCCGCATGCATCATGGACGTATGAGCGACGTCCATGACCATGCCAATGCGGCGCTCAGCAATCCCATTTTGCTGCGGAGAGTCCGAAAGCGTGAAGGTCTGACGGATGCCTCATGCACGACAGTAGGCACGCAGAAGGCCAGAGGAGAACTCTCCGCCTCTGTCAAAGTGCAGACGCAGAACAGGAAAGTCCGAGCCGAAGCTCTGTCTGAGCTGGAGACGAGCTGCGCGGATCCAGTCGATCAACACCTCAGTGACATCACCCCTGCTGCGCAAGGGGAAGACTGCGGCGTAACGCGAGTAGTCGTCAACCACCAGCAGGAAGTAGCACTCGTGACCCTGTCCACGGACGCGGGCTGGGCCCCACACGTCCATGTGAAGCGTCTGCAGTGGGGCCTTTGTCGGAGGAAACTAGGAGGAGTGAGGGGCAGCCCGCTGCCGCCCCTCGACACAAGGGACGCAGGTAGGGCCAGGCCCCGGACGAAGGGAAGGGAGGGACTGGGGAAGACCAGAAACAAGGAAATGGGAGGCCATGCCTCTGAGACAAAGCAGAGAGGGGTGACCAAGGCGGTGGTGCCAGAGTAGAGTCTCGTGAGACAGGAGACGACACGAGCAGGGGGCAGACTCAGGACCAGACCTGGACGCTGCAGCAAACACCTGACCCGACGCAGCTACCCGACCAGACGCAGTGACTGGAGGAGACTCAGTGGTCAGTGTGTACAGGCTCGACCCCGGCTGACGTGTAAACGTGGCCAAGTGTCGGCCTGTCCGAGCCTCAGTGCAGTGTGTCAGCCGCTGACTTGCAGGAGTGAACTGGTGCACTCCCCCATCCTGTAGGTCAGCACCACTCACCAAGTTCGTAGAGAACGAGGGGAGGTAAAGACCAGACAGGGTGCCAGAGGGAGCCGCCGGACACGGGAGGACAGTGGAGAAGTGAGCAAGGACAGGACCAAGCGGCGTGAGTGTGGTGCGGTCTCGAAAGAAGGAGCGAGAAGCCCCTGAGTCAAGGGTGAAGGTGAGGGAGGCTGAAGCCGACGCAGTACCTGAGAGAGCAGACTCACCAGCACCTGAGGACGCAAACACACTAGCACCTAGAGCAGCAGCCTCGCTAGCACCTAGAGGAGCAGCCTCACCAGTACCTAGAGCAGCCGTCTCAATGCCCGGATCGGGCGGGAAACACCGGTAACAGTCACCCTCATCACTAATAGTCACAGCATACATGGCAGCAAGAATAGCATCAAAGTCTAGGTCAAAGATAGCTACTCCCGCCCTAGACAGCTCACCCCAACGGGGGATCTCAGTGGCCTCTGGGAAATGGTGACGCCGAGCGTCCGTTAGGCGGCCAAAGAAGCGCTGGGTGGAGTGCGCACCCCCACACTGCTCACCCAAACGGTCGCCGGTGCGTAGGACGTAAGTGCACGGACTAGTCCCCCCACCCCGCTGGCGTGCAGCGTACCACTCACGGAGCTACTGAGGAGGGGGGATGTCACGAGTGCACTGCTGCTGCTGCTGCTGGCGCTGGCCACCACCGGAGCCGCCCCTCTGCGCAGCGCCACCCCGACTAGCTCCACCTCCTCCGCCTCCGCCTCCTCCTCCGCCGCCACCTCCGCCACCTCCGCTCCCACCGCCAGCGCCGCCTCGGCCTCTGCCTCCACTGCCGCCACCAACACCTCCACCCCCGCCACCACTCCCAACACCACCCCCACCCCCTCCGCCGGCTCCACCGCCACCTCCACCGCCCCCACCAGCTTCTCCAGCGCCCTTGCCCCCCTTGCCCTTGCTTGTGCAGCGCCGACCAACTCAAAACCAATGAGGTCGGCCGCAGCAGCAGAAGCAACAGAGGGCAAGAGGGGGGAGGGAGAACACCCCTCAAAGACGGGGGTGCGGGGGTCACCACGAGAGGCAGTGGTCCCTGACTACGCGAAGGGAGTTAGGGAGCCGGGTGACTATGTAGTAGAGGGTGATATACATGGGTGGGGGGTTCTTGGCTCAGAACTCAGTAGGAAGCGCAGCGCGGTAGCGAGTGTCACTAGTGCGGAGGTGCGTAATGAGGTCAGCGACTGTGGGAAAGGCAGCAAGGTCAGGGAAGAGGTACGGTAGCATGAGGCGGCTCAGTGCAGCAGTGGCAGGGGAGGAGTAGCGTGCAACTACAGCGTCGTACAAGGTCTGAGCACTCTTGTACTAACTAAAGTGCGCACGCTCAGAGGTAGGCAGGTGGCGACGCACAGCAAGACGTGCAGCAGCATCGCGCGTGGCCCACTGTGAGCGAACAGTGGCGTCAGCATCTGCAGCAGGGGCAGGAGAGGCACCATAGGTGAGGTCAAAGAGAGAGAGATCGTCTGCCCTATCGCACTGTAGGAAAAGCTGTAGGTCATCTACCCATACGTCAAAGTCAATGGCCCGACCCTCGGCGTCAAAAGTGAGGACACTAGGGGTAGCCATGACAGCAGTAGACTAGCAGCTCGAATAGTGGGGTAAGGGCAGTGCAGTGACAGAGGCGCTGCTCTTACCGGACAGGGCGGCTCGGGCGGCTCGGGCGGCTCGGCAGCTCGGCAACTCGGCGGCTCGGGCGGCTCGGGCGGCTCGGCAACTCGGCGGCTCGGGCGGCTCGGGCGGCTCGGGCGGCTCGGGCGGCTCGGCAACTCGGCGGCTCGGGCGGCTCAGGCGGCTCGGCGACTCGGGCGGCTCAGGCGGCTCGACAGCAACTGCGGCTCGGCGACTCGGCGGCTCGGGCGGCTCGGGCGGCTCGGCGGTTCGGGCAGCTTGGGCGGCGCGGGTGACTCGGTAGCTTGGGCAGCTCGGGTGGCGTGCGGCTTGGCGGTGATGGTGGGGCCGCGTGGGGACGGTGGCGGGGCCGGCAGAGACGGCACCGGGTCCGCACAGGTACGCGGCACGGCCGGGAAGGTAGGCGCCGGGGCCGCAGGTAGGCGACGGGGCCGCAGGTAGGCGACGGGGCCGCAGGTAGGCGAAGGGGCCGCAGGTAGGCGACGGGGCCACAGGTAGGCGACGGGGCCGCAGGTAGGCGACGGGGCCGCAGGTAGGCGACGGGGCCGCAGGTAGGCGACGGGGCCGCATGTAGGCGACGGGGCCGCAGGTAGGTGACGAGGCCGCAGGTGGGCGACGGGGCCGCAGGTGGGCGACGGGGCCGCAGATAGGCGACGGGGCCGAAGGTAGGCGACAGTGCCAGCAAGGGCGGGGCCTGGTCGGGAAGGGCGGCCTCAGGGCCACGGGGTAGGCGACGGGGCCGCAGGGCGGCGGATCGGGGCCGGGAAGACAGCGCGAAGGGGCCGCAAAGGCAGCGCGACGGGGCCGCGAAGGCGGCGCGACGGGGCCGCGAGGGCGGCGCGACGCGCCGAGGTGGCGAAGGCGGCGCGACGGTGCCGCAAGAGCGGCGCGACGCGGCCGGGCCGTAAGGGCGGTGCGACAGGGCCACTAGGGGCCGAGAGAGAGGGGAGCGCGACTCGGGCAGGTGCAGAGTGCGCTCCGGGCACGAAAACTGAAACGAGAATGAATGGACGATGAAAGAGTTGGGTACAAGTACTAACCCTAATTGGGTTGTACCCCTTATGGGCTACCCCACTACAGCCTACACAAATGCATAAGCTATAGTGTTCTCACAAGTGAGGCCAAGTAGGCACTAGACCTAACAAAGTACAAAAGCGCTGATGATCACAAGGCGGAAGTGCCTTGGTAAAGATATCAGCAGTATTGGCCTCGGATGCCACGTAAGAAAGGCGCATCTGACCGCGCTGCTGCAGCTCACGAGCAAGGAAGTAGCGAAGAGCAATGTGCTTCATTCTGTGCTCCAGTCTGTGCTCCCGACACAAGGCCAGCATGGCCTTGTTGTCTACGTACAGAACTGAAGGAGAACGAGGCGGCTCTCCTAGGTCAGTCAGCAGGTAGGTGAGCCAGCGTAGCTCCTGTGCAGCAATGGCCCCTGCGTAGATCTCGGCCTCACAGCTAGAGCCGAGAACAGAAGACGAGCGGGTAGACCGCCACGAGACAGAGCCGGAACCAAGGCTGAAGGTGTAACCCTATGACGACCGATGAGTAGCCTAGTCGTCAGCCCAAGAAGCGTCTGCGTGACCTGTGAGGACCACTGGACGTCGCCCTCCAAGCACTAGCCCCATGCCCGTCGTAATGCACAAGTAACGCAACACCCTCTTCGCTGCAGCCATGTGCTCTGGTCGGTGTCTCCTAGGAGCCACATAGCGTGCCAAGATGCTAAGAGGGTATGCTAGGTCAGGTCGTGTGTAGGTCATCAGGTACATGAGGCAGCCAACAAGCTCTGGGTACGGGCCACTCGGCTCTACGGACTCATTCGAAGGCAGAGCTAAGAGCGAGTGGCGAGTAGACAGAGGAGTGGCCTGAGGCGAGGAGTACGTGAAGCCGAAGCGCTGAAGGACCTGCTGCACCATGTGTGACTGAGTCAGGGTAATGGTGCGCTGTGCTCTGTCCCGGGTGATCTGCAAGCCAAGGTAGCTGCGCAGTTCACCCAGGTCTGTGCACGTGTGTCTCTTCTGCAGCTTGGACTTCACGTAGGCGAGTCCAGCATTGTTAGCAGTGGCAAAGACCAAGTCGTCGACGTACACGAGGATGTAGAACGGCGGCAAAGAGGTGTCGGTGCGCAGAAACAGCGACGGGTCGGCAGTAGAAGGAGCAAACCCAAGAGCCGCAAGTGTGGTCCTCATTGTGTCGTGCCACTCACGGGGCGCCTGGCGGAGACCGTAGACTGGCCGCCGGAGGCTCCACTGGGTACCATGAGGAAACGACCCAGTGAAGCTACGTGGGCGGTGCAGCCAGATCTCCTCGTGCAGGCTGCCCTGCAAGAAAGCTGTGCTGAAGTCAAGAGAGTGAAGCTCGTAGTCGCACTGAGCGGCTATGTGTAGCAACACCCGAAGAGTGGTCATCTTCAGGGTGGGGGAGAAGGTCTGAAAGTAGTCAACTCCCTGCCGCTGACTGAAGCCTCGAGCCACGTAATGCGCCTTGAAGACAGGCGGAGAACCCGGCGGCCGCTTCACCCTGAAAATCCACATGCCACTGTCGATGTTCGGCCCAGGTGGGGGAACCTCGTTGACGTAGGTGCCTGTGGACTTCCAGGAAGCCATCTCTGCGTCCATGGCTGACTGCCACTGTGAGGAGTAGGGACCCTCGATCGCCTCAGCGTACGATCGAGGAGTCGGGATGTCTGGTGCATCCGGGTCTCTCTCAGGGGCAATCAGGGTGGACACGAGATGAGGCAAAGCAGCAGCAAAACACTGGAACTCCTCCTGCCTGTCCTCAAAGACGTCCGTGCTAAGAGCACACTCACCCCCGACGGACGGAGGAGAGACAGACTCAGACTCAGCAACAAGACTAGCAGCGTAGTCTAGACGTCAGCGAGCAGCAAAGTCGACAAGCTCAGCAACTAAGGCAGACGCAGCAGTGGGCTCAAAAGAAGGGTCAGTGACAACAGTAGCCAGGAGACGCGTGACAGTAGGACTGGCAGCACGAAGAGAGTCAGACTCAAGGTCAGCAAGAGTAGGAAGAGAGGACTCTGGAGGAGACGGCAACCGGACACGCAGAGGAGCAGTGGAAGGACGCAATGCCATCTGGTGTGTGCCGGGGACCGTAGGAGGACGCGGACGCGGAGCACGACCACTAGTGCGAGCAGCATGAACAGGTGACGCAGGACCAGACGCAGGCTTACGACGCTCAGCAAGACCTCCAGTAGGACCAGTATAGGGAGAAAGAGCAGGCAGGGGGGAGGCGGGCTGTAACTGTGACCGCGACTGGACAGGCTGTGGACACGCTAAGGGAGGAGCAGGACCAGTAGAGGGCGGGAGACCAAGAACCTGCTTAAGGAGCGGAACGAAGTACGCCCTCGGCCGCGCAGCGCCTCCAGAACCAGCAAGGACAGCACCAGTACCCCCAGCGGCAGCACAAGCGCCAGCAGCACCTCCAGCTCCAACAGCGCCAACTCCAGCACCCTCAGAAGCACCAGCTCCAACACCCCCAGCAGCTCCAGCTCCAGCAGCTCCCGCAGCTCCAGCAACACCAACTCCAGTAGGACCTTTAGCTCCAGTACCGCCAGCAGCGCCAGCAGTACCTCCAGCAGGACTCCCAGTCCCAGCAGCTCCAGAACAGCCAGGACGAGCACCTCCAGGACCAGAAGCAACAGTAGTACCTTCAGCTCCAGCAGCACGGCTCCAGCGCTGGGCAAACCAGTTGCGCAGCTCCTGCGGAGAGAGTAGCTCCTGCCTCGACGAAGCACCGCCAGAGGCCACACGAGCAGACCCAGCACCCCCAGGCTCCGCACCCCCAGGCTCAGCACCCCCAGGCTCCGCACCCCCAGACTCAGCACCCCCAGGCTCAGCACCCCCAGACTCAGCACCCCTAGGCGCAGCACCCCTAGACTCAGCACCCCCAGGCCCCGCACCCCCAAACCCGGCACCCACAGGCTCAGCGCCCCTGGCAGCACCAGAGTCAACAGGTACCTCGACAGGCTCGACTGTGTCTACCTCGGACACACCTGACAGGGCAAGATCCTAAGGGGGGGAGAGGGTCTACCGGGGGAGGACCTGGCGCAAGGAAGAGCGGCGGCAGGGGGAGGGGCGCAGTGCGGTAGGGGAAGAGACAGTAGTAAGGCACCGACTCGTCAAAGATGACGTCCTGGGAGGACAGAACACGGCGCGAGGTGGGGTGGTAAAACGCGCCAACCAGGCGCGTCAGGGGGGAAGCCAAGGAAGACGCAGGGAACAACACGGGGGGACAGCTAGTCCGTAGACAAGTTGCGGACAAACGCCCGAGATCCCCAGACACAAAACGCAGACGCATCGCCAACCTTCCCCGTCCACCGCAAGGTGGGGGAGGTCTCTGGCAAGGAGACCCGGGGCTGAAGGTTGAGCTGATGCGCCGCGTACTGAACCGCAAACGGCCACAGAAAATGGGGAGCAGCCGCATGGATCATGGGCTTACGAGCGACGTCCATGACCATGCCAATGCGGCGCTCAGCAATCCCATTTTTCTGTGGAGAGGCCGGAAGCGTGAAGGTCTGGTGGATGCCCTGTGCACGACAGAAGGCTCCCAGACGGGCAGAGGAAAACTCCCCACCTCTGTCAGAGTGCAGACGCAGATTAGGAAAGTCCAAGCCGAAACTCTCTCTGAGCTGGAGACGAGCTGCGCGGATCCAGTCGATCAACACCTCAGTGACGTCACCCTTGCTGCGCAAGGGGAACACCGTGGTGTAACGCGTGTAGTCGTCAACCACCAACAGGAAGTAACGCTCGTGACCCTGGCCACGGATGCGGGCGGGGCCCCACACGTCCATGTGAAGAGTCTCCAAGGGAGCCTCTGTCGGAGGAAACTCGGAGGAGTGAGGGGCGGCGCGCTGCCGCCCCTCGACGCAGGGGACGCAGGTAGGGGCAGGCCCCAGAGGTAGGGGGGGGAGGGACCGGGTGAGACCAGAGACAAGGACACGGGAGGCCATGCCTCGGAGACGAGGCAGGGAGGGGTGACCAAGGCGGTGGTGCCAAAGGAGAGTCTGGTGGGACAGGAGACGACACGAGTAGGGCGCAGACTCAGGACCAGGCCTGGACGCTGCAGCACACACCTGACTCGATGCAGCTACCTGACCAGACGCAGCAACAGGAGGAGACTGAGTGGTCAGTGTGTACAGGCTCGACCCCGGCTGACGGGTAAACGTGGCCAAGTGTCGGCCCGTCCGAGCACACGTACAGTGGGTCACCCGCTGACCTGCAGGCGTGAACTGGTCAACCCCCCGATCCTGTAGATCAGCTCCACTCACCAAGTTCGTAGAGAACGAGGGGAGGTAGAGACCTAACAGGTTGCCAGAAGGGGCTGCCGGACAGGGTAAGACAGTGGAGAAGCGAGCAAGGATAGGACCTCCAGTGGGGTCTTCCAGGGAGACCGTAACCGGCCGACTGAGCGGCGTAAGCGTTGTGCGGACTCGAAAGAAGGAGCGGGAAGCACCCGAGTCAAGAGTGAAGGTGTGTAAGGCCTGAGCCGACGTGGTACCTGAGAGAGCATACTCACCAGCACCTGGGGCAGCAGACGCACTAGCACCTAGAGCAGCA